AGAGAAGGGGGGCAAAGTTGAAATATGAACCGCTATTTATAAAAGTTGGAAGTTTCTGTTGCCGCAGAGATTTTTACTGTTATTTTTCCATGAGACCCTGTCTTTTCTGCCAGATATTTTCCACAAAACGACTCTATTGATTTATAATTTATCACTCCTATAAAAAATATATATTTTAACACAACATTTTTTTCGTCAATATCGAAGAAAATTTACCTTTTGTAACATTCTCAAAACAAAATCCTTTTGTATGAAACTTTACAAAGGATTTCTATAATTAGAATTGAATGGATGGGAATGTGCTTGCTCTCATTTTGAATCGGGATTCGCTCGATATGTACAGAGATGGGAATATCGCGTCAACGAGTCGATACAAATTCAAAGCTCGGAATCATACGATTACCGGAGACATCGATTCATATCAAAGTCGGATTACCGGGAACGATTTTAGACCTCCGGTTGGCAGATTTTGGTTAACCTGAGCGCACAAATCAATTTCACGTTATACGCGAAAGATATAAAGGTAAACGATAAAAGATTATTCAATAAATTTGCGATAAAATCTTTTATTCTACATATGTTTTTATATAAGCTAATCAAATCCATTTAAAAATATAACCATAATCACGAAACCAGTATGCACTTGCACTGGTCTACATAACATGTAACATAGCTTAATAGTATAGGCATTGGGTAGTTTTGCAAAGGAAAAGTTTTGCTTGGAAAAGGTGACGTCCTTACTCAGAGTTAAGAGACGCATGGCTAAATCCGAATGTTTCTAGTTCTAGGTCTAGTGTTAGTTCTAGTTTTACTCTAGACTTAGATTTTAGTTTTTGGTCTAGCGCTGCATAACAATTAAAACTAGAACTAACACTGGAAACTTTCTAGTTCTAGGTCTAGTGTTAGTTCAAGTTTTACACTAGCACTGTTGCTATGTAGAACTAACACTATACCTAGAACTAGAATCATTTGGGTTTAGTCGCACGTCTCTAAAGACGATTAAACCCGAATGATTCTAGTTCCAGGTATAGCGTTAGTTCTAGTTTTACACTTGCACTGTCACTAGAATTAACATTAGACCTGGAACTAGAAACATTTAGGTTTAGCCGTACGTCTCTTAAGACGGCTAAACCCGAATGATTCTACTTCTTGGTCTAGCGCTGAATAACAAATAAAACTAGCCGTGTGTCTAAGGACGCACGTCTAAACCCGAAAATTTCTAGTTCCAGGTCTAGTGTTAGTTCTAGTTTTACACCAGCAGTATTCTATGTGGAACTAACACTATACCTAGAACTAGAATCATTTGGGTTTACCCGCACGTCTCTAAAGACGGCTAAACCCGAATGATTCTGGTTCTAGGTATAGTGTTAGTTCTAGTTTTACACCAGCAGTATTACTATGTGGAACTAACACTATACTTAGAACTAGAATCATTTGTGTTTAGCCGCACGTCTCTAAAGACGGCTAAATCCGAATGGTTCTAGTTCTAGGTATAGTGTTAGTTCTAGTTTTACACTTGCACTGTCACTAGAACTAACATTAGACCTTCTTCTTGGTCTAGCGCTGAATAACAAATAAAACTAGAACTAACACTAGACATAGAACTAGAAAGTGTCGGGTTTAGCCGTGCATCTGAGGACGTCTGAGGCGTCTGAGGACGCACGTCTAAACCCGAAAATTTCTAGTTCTAGGTCTAGTGTTAGTTCTAGTTTTACACCAGCAGTATTACTATGTGCAACTAACACTATACTTAGAACTAGAATCATTTGGATTTAGCCGCACGTCGCTAAAGACGGCTAAACTCGAATGATTCTAGTTCCAGGTATAGCGTTAGTTCTAGTTTTACACTTGCACTCTCACTAGAACTAACATTAGACCTGGAACTAGAAACATTTAGGTTTAGCCGTACGTCTCTTAAGACGGCTAAACCCAAATGATTCTAGTTCTTGGTCTAGCGCTGAATAACAAATAAAACTAGAACTAACACTAGACCTAGAACTAGAAAGTTTCGAATATTTCTAGTTCTAGTGTTAGTTCTAGCTTTACACCAGCACTATTACTATGTAGAACTAACACTATACCTAGAACCAGAATCATTTGGGTTTAGCCACACGTCTCTAAAGACGGCTAAACCCGAATGATTCTAGTTCTAGGTATAGTGTTAGTTCTAGTTTTACACTTGCACTGTCACTAGAACTAACATTAGACCTAGAACTAG